CCCGCCCGTCAGGGCTGGCCGGCTGGCCCATAAAGACCCGCCCGTCAGGGCCCGCCCGTTCGTCTGCTTGAAGCCCGCCGGCCCGCTTCAATGTCCCGCCCGACTTGCCGTTCAGGGTCCGCCCGCTGCCCGTCAGGGTCCGCCCGTCCGCGTGCCTGGAAGCCCTCCCGCCCGATTGAACGCCCCGCCCGACCGACCCGCCCGGTAGGGTCTGCCCGCCCGATCCGCCAGTCAGGGCCAGGCGGACGAGGCAGGGAGCAATGAAGAAGAGGAGGGGGAGGAGGAGGAGGAGGAGGAGGAGGAGGAGGAGGAGGAGGAGGAGGAGGAGGAGGAGGAGGAGGAGGAGGAGGAGGAGGAGGAGGGTCAGCGGCACGATCACGACCGAGGAGGTTTAGCTGGCTCTATGGAGTGCTGGAGTGAGAGATTGGTCAGTTGAGTAGATGTTAATCGGAGGAGGCAGCGGGTGGGCCCGGGACCACGGCCACGGGTTGGCATGGCCGCTCCGGAGGCCCCAGGGGCGCCCCCGTGGCTTCCAAAGTGGCCCCGTGGGCGCTCCGCTGGTTCAACCATTGCTGTAAATGTTCGCCCTGCCGGTCCAACACAGCCCGAGGCCGCCGAAGATTGCTTGTGGACGGCCCCCGGAGGCCCCCAGGCTGCGTCAGGGCGGCCCCAGGCGGCCTTCAATGGCCGCGAGAGGTCCCAGAAGAGGGGCCTGATGGGCAACAATCGTCCCATTTCCTTTTGGAAGACGTACACTTTCAGCATGTTGGACTTTCCGCGTTTCACCGTGTTCACGACGGCCCAAGAGGCCCCCAAGGTCGCCTAAATACGGGCCGAGAGGCCCCCAAGACGGAGAACGCCCCAAGACGGGCCCGGAGGCGCCCGAGACGGCCCACGAGGGCTTCAAGAAGGCCCCTAATAGATGGCCGAGATGGGGAAGTCCATTTCAGACTCTGAGATTTCCTCCCCAAGAGGACCCCCGAGACCGCCAGCAGGGCCCCAACAGGCCCCAAGAGAGCCCCAAGAGGATCAAAAAGATCCCCAGAGGCCTCCAGATTCCCCCCACGACGTCCAGAAGAAAGCCCCGAGACTTCAATTTTCAGCATTTGGGACTTTTCGCGTTTCATCGCGTTCAGAACGGCCTAAGAGGCCCCCAGGCTCGCCCAAAGACGGGCCGAGATGCCCCCAAGATGGTCCCAAGGCAGCCTAAGAGCGCCCCAAGACAGACCCAGAGGCGCCCAAGATGATCCAATAAGGTTTCAAGAGGGTCCCAAGAGAGGTCCACGAGGGCCAAAAGCATCGCGTCCCCCACACAGATGGAGCTTACTGCCAGACTGCCAGTTGAAGCCTACTCCCAGGGGAGTAGGAGCCTACTGCGCGGGGAGTAGGCTCCTACTGGCAGTAGGCTCCAACTGGGAGTAGGCTCCAACTGGGAGTGGGCTTCTACAGGCAGTATGCTCCAACTGGGTGTAGACTCCAACTGGGAGTAGGCTTCAACTGGCAGTGGGCTCCAACTGGGAGTAGGCCCCAACTGGCGGTATGCTCCTGCTGGAAGTAGGAGCTAACTCCCCAGGCAGTAGGCTCCTACTGGCAGTAGGAGCCTACTGCCCAGGGAGTAGGCTTCTCCCTCCCCTCTCACGCAGTAGACTCCTCTTGCCAGTGGAAGCCTACTCTCAGTAGGAGCCTACTGCCAGTAGGAGCCGACTCCCAGGGGAGTAAGAGCCTACTCCCCGGGCAGAAGGCTCCTGCCCAGTGTGGGAGCTTACTCGGGGTAGGGGCCTACTGGGAGTAGGAGCCAACTGGCAGTGGGAGTCTGTTCCCATGGGAGTGGGTTCCTGTTCCAGGCAGTAGGCTCCTACTCGGAGTAGGAGCCTCCTCCGGGTAGGAGCCTACTGCCGCGGTAGGAGCTTACTCCCAGGGAAGTAGGAGCCTGCTCCCAGGGGGGTAGGAGCCTACTCCCCGGAGAGTAGGCTCCTAGTGCCAAGAGGCTCCTCCCAGTGGGCTCCTACCCGGAGGAGATTCCTATTGCCAGTGGGAGCCTGCTGCCAGTAGGAGCCTACTCCCAGGGGGGGTCGGAGCCTACTCCCCCAGGAGAAGGCTCCTACCCGGAGTATCAGCCTACTGCGTGAAATAGGAGGTTGGGAGCAGGAGCCTACTGGCAGTAGGAGGCGACTCCCGTGGGAGTAGGAGCCCAACCCTCAGGCAGTAGGCTCCTACCCGGGCAGTATGCTCCTACCCTATTAGTAGCTGCTCGGGCAATAGGAGCCTGCTGCCAGTAGGAGCCTACTGCCAGTTGGAGCCTACTCCCGGGCGGGACGGGGGACGGGGTGGCGCCGTCTGGGAGTTGGAGCCAACTCCCAGTTGGAGCCTACTTCCAGTTGGAGCCTACTGCCAGCAGGGGCTTACTCCTAGTAGGAGCCTACTGCCAATATGAGCCTACTGCTAGTTGGAGCCTACTCCCGAGCGGGACGGGGGACGGGGTGGCGCCGTCCCCCGTCCCCCCGCCCCACCCGGGAGTAGGCTCCTACTCCGAGTTGGAGGGAATTGTGGGGGTTCGGAGCACACCAGGCCAGATTTGCTGGAGAACACGAGGCCAGCCTGGTCGAGGCCCTCCTTGAGAGCGACCGCTGACTTGCAGATGCCCGACATCTCCATCTGGCGGGACCCGACAGCCCTGAGCACGGTGTCGTCGACGAACGTCCAACGCTTGGCCCGCTCACAGGTGCGGTGCGCCCGAGCGATCACGGGCCTGAGGAACACCCTGGCCAAAAGAGGCTCCCAGAGGCTCCCAGATGGCCGGGATCGGTACCAAAGCGAGGCACGGGGTGTGCAGAGGTGCAGAGGGTCCTGGACCTGGACGGCTCCGAGGGCCCCCTGACCTCCTGCCAAGCGAACCTCGGCCCGCCAGAAGGGCGTCAAAAGGGGGCTCAGAGGGCCTCACAACGCCACAAGCACGCTCACCATTATTTCGAGACGGCCCACGAGGCCTCCAAAACGCCCCAAGAGGGCCCCAAACCGTTTTCCGAGAGAGCCCCGAAATGCTAAGTTCACGGCTTCCCTGAAGCTTGCTCAAGCATTTTCCCATTGTCGCCTGCTCCGCTTCCCGACGCTCCGAGGGGGCACACCCCAAGAGGGCGCCACTACGGCCCAAGAGGCGCCCAAGATGGCCCAAGCGCCAGCTGATCCGAAGATGATGGGCCTATTTTCCACCACCACCATGGGTGTGTGTTATTGGTTCGTCATCCGTTACTGGTCCGCGTGACAGCCGTTCTTGACAACCACGCTGCCCACTCTCGCTTCTCGTTGTCCGCCTCCTCGTCCTTCTCTTCGTGCTCTTCCGCAACCTCCTTGCAGTCGAGACTTCGTAAGAGCCTGCAGGTCTAATCTTGCTGCTGCATGCTTGTGGGACGCGTTCGCCCAGTCTCTCCCCACGCCCTGCGGGTTGATCTCATTCCCCTGCGCGCTGCGCTGCTGCAGTGGAACATTACACCCTCGCAGCAGAATGCTCAAAACAGCTTCATGCAGTCATCATGTGGGCCGCGATGGGGGGTCACGACGTGGGCCACGAGCTACGATTGGGGGATCGGGATATGGATAGTGATGGGGGTAGAGGTCGGGGTAGGAATGTCTGATTCGGGATATAGGGATTGGGATATAGGGATAGGGATAGGGATCGGGATCAGGATGTGGATGGAGATGGGGATATAGGATAGCGGTAGTGATAATAGAGATAGGGATTGGGATACAGCGATCGGGCTAGCTAGGGATAGGGACGGCAATGGGAGGCCACGAGAGGCAACGTGAGGCCAGGGGAGGCCACGGGAGGCAACAAGACGTTGCGGGAATCAGTGGGAGGCCACGGGAGGCAACGGAAAGCGAAGGGAGGCCACGGGAGGCAACAGGACGCAACGTTGCCCAACCGATTCCGGATCCGGCAACGCACCGGATTGGTTAGTTTCGTAGAACAAGAATATGGAACCCTTACAGACAGGCTGTTTAGGGACGAATGTTTGGCTAGTCAAGCTTGCCCTGTCTTAATTTGCTGTATACGCCCGTGCGTCACGGGCTTGTCGCCAGCAGCTGCTGCCGGAAACCTTGGCTCGAGCAGCCTTCGGCGCTCAAGGCGCGCGCTGGCACCGGCCGGAGTGACCTCCGCCTTTTGTCGGCTCTTGGAACCCCCATGCAGTAGTCGGCTGCTGGGCGCGCGGGAGAGGTCAGTTTCTGTTCGCCCGCATGGCGCAGCGCGGAGCTGGGGGGGCTAAAAGAAACCCGACGCCTCTGCTCCCTGGACCTCTCCACGGGAGCGTTCCGACCAAAATTCTGACGCGGATCCAGCCGTGGCGACGACAGCCTTCCAGGAGGCCGGTCAAAAAAACGAGAGCGGGGAAAAAAGGCATTGGCATTCGCATGTTCTTTGTCTCCGAGGAGCGGGGCGAGCCAAGTACGCCCCGGCGCCTCAGCACGCCGATGACGGCTTCGAGCCCGATGACGAATCGTATGGGCTGATGAGCACCATGTGCTGCGAGTCCGTCCCCGTTGCCGACGAGGGCCCCGAGGGCGCAGGGCGTTCGGAAATCCACCGCTGGGGTGTCTCCGTACCCACTGGACCTCTGGAGGGTCTCGAGGACCTCTCGAGGAGCAGCGGGCCTGGATGTTTGCCCGCCCGCCCCTGAGGGCGGGGAGTCTATCCACATCCGCCGTTAACCATGGATCCAAGACTCCAGCAGCTGTGGATGCGGATGTTCCCTGGCGGTGCATGAATGATCGCCCGCCGCGCCCCCCCGCAGGAAATCGCAATCGCGGGCTTAGACTCGGCGAAGTTTGACCTTTGCCATGGGGGAGAGCGGGTCCCAGGGAAACGGCCCTGGTCTTACGTCGGGCCTGTCCCTCTACAGGAGGAGTATTCCCAAATAGTCATAATATAGGGACGTTTTTTTCTCTTGTTCGTGTTTTTGGATATGTTTGAACAGTTTTGGGGTATGTTTCATTCTTCGTCCAAAATCACCTTGTAGGGGGACATGCCCGACCTAACCCTGGTCTTTGGGCTCCCCGTGACAGGTTTCTCATCCTCGGCTGTTTTCGATGGAACCGGGGCTTGAGAAGGGCCCCGCGAGGTCGAAAGCGGCGAGACGTCTCTCATGCATCCTCTCTGTCAGGACTTCATTTTTCTCATGGTGAGACGTCGGAGGGCGGGGATGTCAATGACATGGGCCCACAGACCTCTCGACCCCTTCCCACGGGCCGATTTTTCTGTCCGAGCCGTCTTTGACGGCCCCGGGTCCTGGACCCCGAGGCCCAGAGCGGTGCATTCCAGCCAGAGCCCATGCCGGAGGGGGAAGAAGCGACGCGCGGTTCTTTTGGTCCAAGATCGGTGCTTGGTGCCAGTGATTGGGCGGGGTGGGGACCGGGATGCATCGCTCCAGAGCGTTCCAGAACGCTCTCGGAGCGTTCCGGGGAGCGCTCCGGCACGGCCGGTGCGCCCGGCACGTCCTCCAGAGCCGCTGGTCCCGGTGCGAGGTTGTCTCGGTCCTGGCTCTGGCTTGAGCGATGCTTCTGGCCCCGCGGAGGCTCGTCCACGGGCTGGAGGTACGCCCACGTCGGCCAGGGCCGCGGGAAGTACGAGAAGGTGCACACCTACAAGTACGTGGGCCAGGGCGCGGGCAGCTTTCGCAAGGAGGAGGTGGCCGAGCGACAGGGAGTGGTGCACGGGCGCACTTTTTCGGAGGTCCTCGCGGACGTCCTGGATCGGCGCTGGGCCCATCTCCCCACTCTTTCTCCTCCTTCTCCCTCCTCCGGCCTGGGCCCTCTCCCCTCCCTTCCTCCTCTTCTCCTCCTTCTCCTCCTCCTCCCTCCTCCTCCCCTCCTCCTCCTCCTCCTCCTCCTCCTCCTCCTCCTCCCCCTCCTCCTCCTCCCTTTCTCCAGGGCGCGGAGCGCTCTCTGGGCCCCGCGCCGGGGGCGCCGCCCAGGCGTGTGTGGGGAGAGGGGGGGCCAGCGCCGAGCGCCGAGCGCCGAGGAGTCCGCGCGGGCCTCCGCGAGTCTGTGTCTGCACCGTTGCGCGGGGGGCCGGCCGCGCCGCCACGCTAGGGGAGTGATCGGGCCCCTGAGCCGCCCGCTCCGTCCCCGCGTTCCTTCGGCCGCGTCCTCTCCACCGCTTCTCCTCTTGCATGGTGGCACGCTTCGCTCTCACCCGGGAGCGGCCAAGAGGGCCATGATAGCTTCCCAGATTTCATGGCGCCTATTCTCATTTCAAGGCGTCCCCCAACCCCCCCCCCACCCTGGGCCGCGCACATGCTGCCGGCCATGTTGTGCGCCCCCCCCCCCCCCCACTCTTGGACGCCCCCCTCTTGGCCGCCCCGACTGACGGCCTCCCCGCTGGAGCCTCTCATCGCCAGCGCAGTCACCCTCTGCCCAGCTGCCGACGCAACAGAAAGTGTCTGCACCGTCGCTTTCCCTCCCGGGCTCGCGGACGCGCAAAAACATGGCTGAAGCCCCGTGCGCTGGCGGCGGGCCCCGTCTCCATAATTACCAAGTTGGCGCGCTCCGTCGCCGATGCAGGCGGCACTGGCGCCCATGCTTCTGGGGTTACGTGGCGCCATGCTTCTGGGGTTACGTTCCCGGGTCCGTGGGTCTGTCGCCCCTGCGCGGTAGATCCGCTGATCCCTGATCCATGCTGCTGTGTGCCCGACAGGTGGTCTCCTACCAGCCCACGACCCGGCTCCGCCCCGAGTGCGTCTGCCTGCTGCTGGTCGCGCTGATCCTGCTCCTCATCGTGCTGTGGCCTCTCGTCGCCAGCCTCTGGCCGGGCGGCGCCGTGGAAGGGGCCGCGGGGGAGGTGCTGTCTCCGCTGCTTGGCTCAATCAGGAACGGCTCCAACGCGACGATGATGGTTGAGGTCAGAGGAGGGCAACATTCCGATTCCGATGCTCTTCCCTCCTTCACGCCTTTCTGCCTCCCCCGCCCCGTGCGAGGCAGGGCTTTTTATACGTGCACTGCCCAGGGGAACTGATCTTGCTGGACCTTGGCAGGCGGTGGATGTAGATATATTCAGGCCCCTTGGGGCACGGCTGGATTCGCCTCGGAATCCTGGTCAGAGCGCGTTCCTGGAGAGGTCCAGGGAGCAGCGGTGTATCTTTTTTTTCCCACCCGCTCCCCCATGAGGGGTCCCTCGTGGTGGATAACTTGAGCTACGACGACGTCGCAGGTGACGTGGCGCTCAACGACTCGCTCGCGGAGGCAGTGGAGGTGGCCATCGCGTCGGAGGCGACCCGCGCGGCACAGACGGAGGCGCGTGCTCAAGCTCGAAGATTTATCATCCTGTCGCCGATTCTCCCCTGGGCTGCGGCCTCTCCCGTCCCGCCCTGGCTGGCTGCCCTGCAGTCAAGACGAGACGCTGAAATAAAGACCACTTCTGGTTCGACGACGACGATGACGATGACGACGACGACCACGACGACGACGACGACGACGACGACGACGACGACGACGACGACGACGACGACG